GGTCCAAGTCGGAAGGGAAGGAGCTCCTGAGACATTTAGCTAAAGACAGCTCTTCACAGATCTCCATTTAAAAAAAGGAGATAGTTATAGTTGAACTTGGACAAGCCTGCCTAAGCTCAGGCCCCTATGCAATTATGTTTATCTTCTGTCATCCTCAGAACAATCTGGGAAAACATCTCTCAGTTATTTAATGCCATCTAGCAAGCCACTCTGAAACGTAGTCACTTAAAGCAATCACCATTTATTCTCCCAGTTCTGGGCTTGATTGAACAGTTCTTCAGCTCCCTGTGGCCGGGTTCAGCTGAAGGCTCAGTGGGCTGCCTCAGTTCTGCTGCAGTCACCTCTCTTTCTCCACCTCTAGAGCTTCTCCACGTGGCTTTCCTTTCCAGTAAAGTAGTCTGGATTTCCTTAAAGCACAGCAGCTCGGTTCCAAGAGGGGAGGGTTCCAAGAGGCCAACATACAAATGCTTGTGAGGAGCTGTTTGTGTCAGACTTACTAATGGCCCGTTGGCCAGCGCAAGCCATGAAGCTAAGCCAGAGTCAGTGTGTATGTGGGAAGGGCCACTTCACATGTGTGAACACCAGGGACTCACTGGGGGTCACCAGTATGGTGGTGACTGTCAGTCTTTTGCAGCAAGGGCATCGAGACTCAAGGTGATTCTGCATTGCCAAGGGCAAAGCATTGGGAGCATATTCTTTACTGAAAATACTGGGTCAACCTGATATGGCTGAAGGAGGTGCAGTCTGAGGGGGACAGGGACCGGGGTTCAAGTTTAAGTGGTAATTAAGCTCCAGCCCTCTTTAACCCAGAGAACAACTCAGCAGATGTCCGCCACCTGAAGTGTTTTCCGAGGTGTTTCCACCCAGCAGATCAGAACCAAGGTCTGTGTGAGGGCACAGGCTGTGTGGGGAGGCATTGAAACAGGTTCCAGGTTGAAGTCCAATTTCCAGTGTGGCCTTATTCCTCCCTCTCCTTGACTTCAGGATACCCTCTCCCATTCTGGTTTAATTATCCTATCATGGTTCCTTAATTTGTCTGTAATCTCCTCACGCTATTAAAAACTAGCTGACGTTTCCTAGGAGATGAAGAACGTTCCTGGACACCCCAGCACTAGTGTTCCCCCTGACTCTAGCGCCTGCCGCATGGGCCTGTTACCACTGGCACTTCCTTGTCTGCCTTTCCCTGCGGTGATCTTTTTAGGAGTGGTCTTTAAGATCTATGGCTCCCAGCACCCACACTGAACTTAATGCTTTTGCTGAGTGCTGCTCAGAATCTTAATACAATGCCTCTGTTTTTCCTGAAGCCTCCCAAAGACTCTAGCAGACATCTGTTGGGCACCTACCAGGTGCCCACTCCCAAACTGGGAAACAGGGGTACTCTAAACCATGCCACTACCATGTTCTGGTCCAAGTTCATTAGCTGAGTGACACTGAGAAATTCACTTAACCTGAGTTCAGCTTGCCCTGAATGTCTAGTGCAGATGAGAATAATCTGTTTTCCCAGCTCATTCAGGGTCAGGACGCAACGGGAGCTCAGAATTGAGAAAGTGACTCTTTGGAGATAAACATAGTATATGTGTGTTAGGGACCCTCTTCTTTAAGAAGTCTGGTTTCTGAGGGCTCTAAGGTAGGACTTTCTATACCCACAAAGTTCCCTGTCACCCTCCACCAATCATGATATCTGAATTCTGCTATCTGTCCTTCCTTGAGCAAAGGTATTATTGTCACTTAAATCCAAAAGACGCTTGCTAAAAAAATACTAAATGATCTGAAACGATCACATTAACCCCAGAGCACACGTTTTCTCTACTACTAATGAACATCATTCATACTCATTCTCCATCGTCGGTATTGAAAGGAAAATCAGTGTGAGCTTTCTGGTGACCACACTGGAAATATGTATTAAAAGCCTTAAAAAGATGTACACTCATGGATGCAACGATTCCCTCTCTGGCAACCTATTCTAAGGAAACACTGTGTTCTGAAGTAGGTACACAAGGAATCCTTATTTATAGTAGCACAGAATTATAAATAATCTGAATGACCAAGAATAGATAATTGGCTAAATGATGGTATATATTCTGGCCTGTCTGCATGGGCCTCTGACCAGAACAGTCACACAGGGCCCAATTTTTTAGTTAATGCTCTGCTGTTGCCATCTTAAATTTTAAATTATATTTTTTAAAAATGTGTACACAGTTTCATAGCTGCTTTATTTTAAATTCTCAACTGGAAAAAGTCTGCATTCTACTTACAGGTGAATAGCTATAAAAAATATGGCACAACACTATAATGGAATTCTATTTAGTTGTAAGTAGAAGCAAACTACTATATATCAATGTGGATGAATCTCAAAATCAGTATTCTAAGCAATGAAGGCAAACACAAGAGACTTCACAGTAAATGATTCCATTTACATGGAATCTCTAGAAAAGGAAAATTTATGAATTCACAAAGCAGGTCAGCAAATTTTGTTTTTTAAATGAGTCTCTCATTACCATTTTGTACTGGGCCTCACAGATGATGCAACCATTTCCTGAATATTATATAACAATTAAAATAATACTTATAGAGAATATTTGCTGAAGTGGAAAATTGCTTCTATTAAATGAAGAAATGGGTACAAAGCCATAAATGATATAATCCTGATTGTTTGAAAACAGAAATATGTACATATATATATATGTGTGTGTGTTTTATATATTATTACATTAATAAGAATACACTAGACTATATATGAAAGAATAAAATTTTATTATCTTAAATATACAATATTTATATATTGTAAAAGACATTAAAATACATAATAGAATATATTAATATATATTCATAGGAAAAAATACTGGCTGGAAATACACCAGAATGTTAAGGGAATTATTTCTGAAGAAACAGATTACAGGTATTCTTTCGATTACTCTTTCTTCTTTGTTCTTGTGGCACTTCCTGGTGTAAGAGTGTGTGAGTATTCCCACTGACTATAATATTTCCTGTAGAGGCAGACGGCTGCAGTGTTTCATAGCTGAGCAACAGTTACTCTCTCAGGGCTTCTGGTTGAGTCTGAAGCTTAGAGTCTGCATAAAACCTTCTGCTTAGACACACGAAGAGAAATTCAGTTGATAAGGAAGTCGAGCTTTCCCACAAGCTCCTTAAAGTCAAGAGCTGTCAGAACTCTGGGTCCCCAACCTGCCATGCAGGAAGGAAGCACCCAGTGATTGGGCCTCCTGTCTTGGGGCTCAAGGTCATTAGTGTTCTTTATCGGTGACAGGTCTTGTCAGACATTCACTTCTTTATGCTCTGGCTTGGAGGAGGGAACTTCTCTCTGACTTGGGCCTAAACCAGGAAGAGGAGCCCCTACCTCACTCCAGGTCTTTCTGTGCCCTGTCTTGGAACAGGCTACAGGAGCAGAGGATGGGTTCACTCCTGTGCAAAACCAGGGGTACGCAGCCGCTTCACCGGCCTCCCTGTGATTGCTTCATTCCGACAGCAGAGGGCAGTAGTGATCAGCGAGCCCAGGAGGGAGATGGCTGTTGGGGGGAAAAGGAGGGGCTCTGTAGGAAAGTGTCTCCACTTACTCTACACCCTAAGTCCTTACCAGACCCTTGCTCACTGTCCTGACACACCTGCACATGTCTGGAAAGACAAGAATCCTAGAACTTTGCTTCTATAAAGTCAAGGCCCCTGAGTGAATAGCCTCCCACCCCTCACAGGACAGATAAGAAGACTGGGGCCCAGAGAAGGGATGGACTTGCTGTAAGTCCAATTACAGTGGACAAAGGGAAAACAGAGCTCCTCCTCACCACAGTGGGGAAGTAGGGTTCACAATGTGAAATAGCCCCCCATGGAAAGGATGGTCAGAGCAAGTAGGCAGCAGTGAGAATGAGAGACCTCTGCGCCTGCATACCGGCCCCTGTCTACTCCCACAGGTGCAGTAAGACTAAAGTCTCCCATGGGCCCAGGCTGGCTCCTGCTGTCCACCCACCCTTCAGAGCACCAGCACCTGGCACGGCAATGTGCTCAGGGCAGCAGTGAAGGCACAGGGGTGGTGTGGGGTGGGGCCCCTGGCAGGGCAGCAAGATCATCCTCCATAGTTCCCTGGGGCCCACCTGAGTAGCTTCCTGGTCCTGCTTTGTGCTGTCCACCTCTGTGCCATTAGCTCGTGGGGGTCTGCTGAGAATCCCGAGTCCCAGTGTTCTCTTCCTTTCTTTCAAATCCATTCATTGTCCTACCCTTCAAGGCCCAGCCCTGGGGCCTCCTCCCCCTCTCTCTTCTCGCACCCCACCCTTAGCTGACTCTACCTGGGTTCTTGCAGCCTCTGATATGTAACATGGTGACAGCAGCACCCAGGGAAGCAGCAGGGTCCAGCAGGGAGAGGGACAGGTCTCTGTTCTGATCACTGACCCTCACCGTGGACCACCCAGGCAAGATCGGCAAGTCCTTTAACCTGATTTGTGACAAGAAATTGCTGCCCCACAGTCCAAATGCATAGTTCTGAGGATTTGGAGAGGGCACAGCCTTTGTACCTACAGTGATTATTTATAACTACGGCCATTCTTTATAAAATGAGACATTTTGAGGGCCAGGTGGAATTTGTCCCAAGACCTAATAAAGGTTGGAACAATAGGTGAATGAATGAGTGAATGAATGATGAGTGAATGAAATGCCTGGGGATGGGCAGGTGCCCCAAGAAGTCTGCCCCTTTCCGCAGTATGCAGGATAGTTGCCCTAATCCAGTCCCTTTTTCCCTCCCAGCCCCATTCTCCACCCTTGCATTGAGAGGCCCACCCACATGGCTTTTCTCTCCTAATTACCCTTTTCAATGAAATTTATGATGGTTTTTGTAAAATTTAAAGCTGATTTGCACAGGCGGTGCATAGGGAGTATTTAGCTGCAAATTTCCTATAATGAAATTGACATCCTGGATTCACAAGGATGGGGCTGTCCCTCCCCCAGCCCCCAGAGGCTGCTTGCTCAGAACTGACAATAGTTTTTTTGCTCTGCAGACCACGGTGAGCTGGGAAGGGGACAAGCTCCAGTGTGTGCAGAAGGGTGAGAAGGAAGGACGTGGTTGGACCCAATGGATTGAGGGTGACGAGCTGCACCTGGTAGGTTCCTTGGCAAGGGGTGGGGATGGGGGCGGAGAGGCCAGGTCAGCCCAAGCTGGGTCCCAGAGACCCCGGTCACTGCTGGGTGGACCTTGGGAAAAGATCCATGGTAGCAGGCCTTGGTTTCTGCTCTGAAATTTCCCTTCCAAGGACCTGGAGAAGACTCTTGAATAACTTTAGAAACTGACCAATGTGTTTTCAAGGTCATAGCTGACCCAGTTGTCCAATCAGAGAAGGTGAGAAGGTGCAGCTGCTAAGCGCCAGGGCCAGAGCTTAGCAATTTTGCCTCTTGAATCTCTTTCTGTTCTCTCAGCAACCCTGAGGGCCCGGCGCTGTTATGATGCCCATTTTGGAGATGAAGACCTGGAGGCTCACCCAAGTCCCACACCTGGAAAGTGGCAGAACTAAAATAAGCCCCCAAGCAATCTCTTTTCACTGTACCAGATGTGGCAGGGCAGAATCAAGGAGAATTCTTTAATTTTCTCTAATATGTGACCTCAACACTGCAGGTCAGGGTAGGAGGGGCCTTTGTCAGTGCTGCTTTAGGTCCCACACACCTGACCTCCGGCCTGGAGCCTCTAGTCAAAGCCATTTCTGCTCCATCCATCTTCTGGAGAAAGCACTCACAGATCTAGCGGCCGCACCTGAGCCCCAGGTGGGTTCAGTAGCCTACGTCCTCTGAGGAGAGCTCCTCCAAGCTCCCCAGTTACCATTCTTCTGAGAAGGGAGCCTGGCCCAGGTAACTTGGGCTGTCGTCCCAGCTCACTCAAAGGGCCTTGGGATCGGTGCCTGCCTTCCGTCGGTGCAGCAAAATACCACCCTATTACCTAAGGGTTCTGAAGAGCTTTGAGACTTGCCAGTGGTGAGAAGAAGCAAAAAGGCATCTTTCTAATTGGCAGCTCAGACTGATGCCGAGGCTGGCTCGGCACGCCTGCCCTGAGCCAGTCTCCTCCGGGCTGCTGTTCCCTTGTCTGCAGAGCCCTGAGGGTAGATTTAGCGATCCCCACCAAATCTTCAGTCGGATAGCTGAATGTCCTGTGTCCCCACCCCTGCAAACTGGGGGCTGCAGCCTCTTTTATTTGGCCAGCAAGTGGGCTTCCAACTTTTTCAGTGAGCACTTCACAAATGGAAGTGTCCTATCAGTACAGTTAACCCTTGAACAATGTGGGGTTAAAAATCGAGCTTCACTTAGCCTGCCCTCCATACAGCTGTGCATCTAGGAGTCTGAACAGCCTTGTTGGGTGAATCTATGAATGCTGAACTGGTAGAAACAAAGACCAGGTCTAGGCAGACCTCCAAAGTGCAAGCCTGGCCTCAGGGTCAGATTTCCAGCCTCCTTCAAGGGAAAAAACAGGAAGGTGGAGCAACCTTGTTCTATGTCCCCCAGGCAACGGTGGGGGGCGGGGATGCCCTATTGGCAGGACAGTGGTTCCAGTGCTTCACCCACTAAAATACTGAGATAGGACAGCCTGGGGCTCAGGCATTTTTCAAACTCCCCAGGTAACTCCCAAGTGCAGCTAAAGCTGAGAATCACACTAGTTTGCTTCCCTCTGTGAGACAACCTATTGAATTCCTCAAGGGTCCAAGCCCTGGGCATGGGCCTGATTTTGGCTAAGACTGGGCACAGACTCAGTGTCTGGCTCAGGCCAGAGGTTCTTAAAGGCTGCTGGTCCCCTGAGGATGGAGGAGAGGAAGCCTCTGAAGTCTTTAGTTTAGCTCAGAGCTACTTTTGCTCCCAGGCAGCTCTCCACAGGACACAGCAGAGTCTGATGTCTGCAGATCCAGTTTAACCAGCTTCCCAAGGAAAATCAGTGGGTTCAGACCAACTCAAGGAGCAAAATAGCAACCACTGAGTATTCTCAAACTCCCTACCCCAGGATGGACTGACCTCCAAGGTGATCTTGTCCTGGCCAATGAAAAGCCTCTGTTTTTGTTTCAGGAGATGAGAGTGCAGGGTGTGGTCTGCAAGCAAGTATTCAAGAAGGTTCACTGAAACCCCCAGGAGACAAGCAGACCTTTGGCTCCAGGAGTGAATGCATGGACATGTGGGCCAAGATCTCCAGTGCACAGCATGGGCCAGAAAGTCCAGCACCCCCCAAATTCCCCACCTCTTTCAAGGCACCTGTGTCTTGACTTCTTCTCTTTCCCTTTTCTTAAAAACCATTCCAATAAAAACAACCTCCACTCAAGACCTGTGTTTTGCAGAAGCTTCAAAACCCTTTTGGCTCTCTTTTTCACTGAAGCTTCCAAATCCATTTTTTCTCACTGCCACCCTGGGGGGAGGAAAAAAGTCAGCCTCACACCTACAGATTTAGTCCTGAGGTTGCACCCCTGAGGTCTTGCACAAGCTTGTGTCCTGTTTATGTGAACTGGCATCAGTTGGTTCTGTGAAGAACCAACAACATTGCATGTCATCCAGGGTCTAAGTTTCAGGAGCATCACAGAACACAGATGCAGGAGAGGGTACTCTCTGCCCTGGGAACTAGTTAAAGGGACCCAATTAGCAGAGATCTCTAACTGCACAGCATACCTAGAAGACACCCTACAATTTATTTGTGAATGCAATATACCTAGACAGAATTGTAAGCCCAATGTTAGCATGAGATGAGCCATAGCAAAGGCGATTGCCAATTAGATTTGATTTCAAAGAAGTTAGAAAGACATACTTCACTACCCCAGACATACTTCACCAGCCCAGACATACTTCACCAGCCCATCTATCAGCTGATATAAAAGTCTTCTCATTGGTAAGAGATGAGTTTTAAGTTGCAAATCCTTCTAGAAGAAAAAAAAAAGTCTTGTTCATACTAAAGTGTAAGTGATTGCCCATTTGCCCATTGTGCCTTTGCATGAGGGAACACAAGAAAACCAAAGAGTGAGTAAAGGAGGTAAGAGATCACAGATATGGGAAAGCCACTTGAACAGGGAAGACTTACATCACCCCCCAACATTAAGTTTGCCCTGGCTGCATCCGGCCTTTTTGGGAAAAGCCTGGTTATATAGAGTTTGTGTCCCATCGGACAACACCCACTCCCCCCAGCAACCTGACCTCATTTATCCAATCATAAGCCACAATAATCCTCCTCACCTCCCACACAGAGGAGTTGTGAAGCTTGTGGTGAATATTAAGCTCATTAAGTGCCAAGTGCTAGTGTACTGGCTGTTTTCCAGACCGATGATCCCAGAATGTCTCAGTGGAACTAGGTGTAAGTATTGTTATAAAATCCCCCAGGTGATTCTGGTAAGCCTCTGGAGTTGATACTCACTCCCTAGGAATACTGGTTCTAGAGAAAGTTTCCCAGGAGTTATTCAGCCCTGCCCAGGAGTATTTGGCAAGATCTGGAGACATACTTAATTTCACAGTTTGGGAGGGGCCACTTCTGGCATCTCTTGAGCATATCCGAGTATCTGCCAGATGTCCTACAATGCACAGGACAAGCTCCCACAGTAACGAATATCCACCCAGTGTATCAACAGTGACAAGAGCAAGTAACCCTGCCCTAGATAAGTATGAAAAGTGTTTGATCTCTCTTATTAAGCAGGTCATTTCCCCAGCTAAATCAAGGAAATAAGAGCCCAGACTGGCCAAAGATCCCAGAGACTCCTTTGTCTTTGCCACTCTGATCTCTATCCTGGGAATAGAAAACTCCAGGTGAATCTTGTGATGATCATCCCTTACACAAATGCTTAAGACAGCCTAATGTATGGCAGGCACTGAGCTAACCATGTCTGCTGGAACTCAGGAGATCCCAACCCATTTCAGGTACTGAGACCCCCATCAGACTTCTTCCTCCAATAGTCAGCCAACACTTAGGTTCTGATGGGGATCTTCAATGGTGTGGCATCACTGGTGTGAGTACATGTCATATAGCAGGGATGCCCCATCCTGGGGAGCCTCTGGTCCCATGGGGAGATTCAGCCTTACACTTACTGAATAGGTTGATAACAGGACCTATTTTAATGGACAGGAAGCCACAGAAAACTTTTTTTTTTTAAGATTTATTTATTTGTGCATACAGAACTGGGTTATAGGACAGAGGTGCAGGAGCAGTGAGAGGATTCACAGAGACAGAGCGGGGAGCAGAACAGGCAGCTCGACAAAGTACATTGCTGAGGGGAGCAGTGGGTGGGGCAGGAGAGGTCTGCCACGCCTTGTGGGTCACCTCTGGGGTGGGGATCGAACTGATGCTGCAGTGGCTTTAGCTTCTTAAAACTGTGCTTTAACCCACTGCACCACAAGGGAGGACCCCACAGAAAACTTTTGAGCGGGGTGGGTGCCTCCCTGGTGATATAATAGGTTAAAGCACAGCACTAGGAAGCTAGCCGCAGCTGCTTCAGCACAAATTTGATCCCCAGCCAGGGAGGTGACCCACATGGCTTGGCAGACTTCTTCTGTCTCTCTTGCTGCTCCCCTCAGCAGTGTACTTCTTCAGTCTGCCTGTTCTGTTCCCCACTCTGTCTCTGGTGAATCTTCTCACCCCCTGGATCTCTGGCCTGTACCCCAGCTCTGTATGCATAAATACATAAATCTTAAAAAAAAGAAAATTTTCAGCAGATGAGTGACATGGTCAGTCTTTCAACAAAACTATTCTGGCAGCCACTGTAATAAGAAGAGAAAAGAGTGTGTAGGAGCTTCGCACGAGGCAGTCACAACAAATGCAAACTTCACTTCAAATGAGACATCTTCCCAAAGAAGGACATGTAGTGAGAGGCAGACAAAAAAAGGAATAAGGGGGAAAAAAGTAACTATAATAAAGTAAAAATCAAAATCATCAGGCAACTACAGATCAGAGACATTCTGTAGGGAAGGAGAAGGGAGGAGGGCCGGAGCAGGAGTGGGAGGAGCATAAGGGACTATGGTGATGGTGCACCGGTGAACTGGTGGTGGGAATTTCACGGGGAAATCACACATTGTACAAAAATGAAGGATGTATATTTAAAGAAATAATAATAACAACAAAAAAATTGCTGGAAAAAGAAGAAGCCGAGGCATGCTTCTCATTGTGCACAAATCGGCAGCCACAGCAGCAGCTGTGACTTGGGTGCTGCTTCCCATTTTCTCATCTTCTGCCAGAGGGCTTGGCAGGCACCACCGCCCTTCCTTGGCAGAGGGCTGTCCCGAGATTGGCAGCAGCCTGTGTCGTGGTGCCTGTTTCGTCTCCTCAGTGGTTCTGTAGCACCGTACCTCCAGCCCAAAGCTAGCTAGGTGAGGCCCATTTGGGGAACATTACCACAAGCCTCACCTCGTTACCAACATCCCAATGCCCTTGTTGTAGGAGATAAGGAAGATTTACATTCTAACAGCAGCAGCACTGGCACTGGAATCACTTACTGAATTCCCAGCAGGCACCAGCACTGTGACATCCCAAGACTGACCCAGAACACAGACGTACATTTACCAGCTCAGCCAGTACCACCAGGCTGTGGAGGTAGAGTTGTCACGCACTTCATTGTTTCCTGGGCCTGTCAACTTGGAAAGCATTTCTCTGCTTTTTTTTGCACTGGAGGGTTACACTATTTCAAAATATGCTCTATGTGAGAATGTATTAATATAACTTCAAATTTTTGTAAAGTAGGAGCAAGTGAGGCAAGCAGCAAAGGTGGGTTCTCACTGAGGAGAGGCAGCAGGGTGAGGCAGCTGAGTGCCAGTGCTCTGGAGCAGAGTTGGGTGGTTCAAATCCCAACTCTGCTGTTTCTTCACTTGATTATCTAAAGCAAGTTAGATAATCTCTCCTTGCCTCCATTTGCTCATCTGTAAATTAGAACTCACAATTCCTCATGGAGCTTTTGTGAGGATTAAATGAATCTAAAACATATAAATAACTGAGTAGATATGTTTTTTTACTTGCTCAGAGCTTTGAACAGTACTTAGCATAGAACGTACGATAAAAAAAAACACACACACACAGAGGTCTAAGAGGCACCTCAGGGGTGGGATAAACGATACTTCATTGCTGACACAGTGTAGGTGACAGGAGATCAGGCAGAGCCAAAGCTGGGAGCATTTATGAGAAGCCAGGAGGTGGGACCCCGCAGAGCAGGAAGGTCTCAGACCACCTCAGCTACAGGGGAAAAGGCAGAATCGGAGAGCTGGTCCTCTCTGACCTCCAAGAATTCAAGTCAGGTACAGGCTGTCTCCTGCACACACACACACACACACACACACACACACACACACACACTGACTGGGAACCCAGAGTTCCTGAGGTACAGATGCAGGCTGTCAGGAGACACTGAACCCCCGAGGCACCCAAAATGTCATTCTCTGGACAGTCTTTAACAAACACCTTGCCACAAGAAAATCATGACAAGGTGAACCCCAAGGATCTCTCTGAAAGCCCTAATTTATAACCTCTGTCTCAATTAATTAGAATGGCACTACTGTTCCTTTCAGGTGTAAATTAAACAACTCAACTCTGCACTGCAATTAAATTCTGTTTAATTCTCCTAAATGTCTCTCATCCACACCAACACTGACAGGCGCAACCACCCCCACATGCCACTCCACCCCCACCTGCAGAGCTAAGTTCCCAAGAATGACTCTACCAACTCAGCATCAACCCAATGTCTCACACTGATTGGGGACCACACAGGAAAAGGTTGAGTCCACGTAAGTGGTGGGGACCTGATAATCACCCACACTGCAGGACTGGGCTTTACTCTCAGGCCAGACTTGGGGCAAGACTGTGCTTTTGGGTAAAAGAATTTGCTTCGGCTCTCCCTTGTGGTGCAATAGGTTAAAGCACAGCTCTAAGAAGCTAAAGCCACTTCAGCACAAGTTTGATACCTGCCCCAGAGGTGATCCACATGGCACAGCAGACCTCTCCTGACCCACCTGCTGCTCCCCTCAGCAGTGTACTTCGTCGATCTGCCTGTTCTGCTCCCCACTCTGTCTCTGGTGAATCCTCTCACCACCCCTGCAACTCTGGCCTGTACCCCAGTTCTGTATGCATAAATAAATAAATCTTTAAAAAAAATTTTGCTTCACTCAGGGAGGGACACTTAGCGATGAGAACATCTGCAATAATAATCTACCTCCTTGTTCAAATGCCACCAGTCCTTCATAGACAAGTTTGGGGTCCTTCCTTCCCTCCTTCACAGCCCACAAACTTCCCCATTCTTTGAGCTCTAAGCCTCTTGAAGTCCTAATTAGTTCTCCTTCTTGAGATATATCAAAAAAAAA